TCTTTCAACTCTGTCATGTTTAACTCTTTCAAAAGTGTTGTTTTAACTCAATCTAGAGTGGACCAATATAGACACTTTGAAAGTGTTGAATTCAACTCTCTAGGAGTTGAATTAACACTTCCAAATTTACTGTGTACCATTCCTACTTTGATTACCTGTCCTGCACTCCTTTGCCCAGTGGCCTTGTTCACCACATTTCCTACAAACATTATTAGATCTATGTCTGTTTCCCTTTCTATCTTGGTTCTCTGTGTTTGACACTGTGCTTGTTTACACCTACATCTAGGCCTCTCACCATATAGTCATTGTCAAACATGTCATGGTCTGTGACAGATCTTATTCTGTGCTCCATGCTGTTTTCAACCAGTTTAGCTGCACCAATTAGCATATCAGAAGTATATGTTGCACCCTTCCATGTTGGAGATGTCAACTTTATGGCCTGTTGTTGGTGCCGAAAATTACGTTATTCAGTCACCACTGTTGTCATCTAACTGCCGCAGATAGAATGACCTGAAAAGAACCACACCTGACAACGTTGTACTTTTTACTCGCTGCTAGGGGGAGCAGAGAGACCAACAGCTTCGCAGAGTTGGCTCACCTAAGTCTCAAAGTGTATGAGGACTACAGCTCCTTTTATTGAGAAAGTTTCACAAATACTGGGCAGTTGTTTTTTTCTTTGAGTTTTACTCCCAGGGCAAAGGTCATCTGATTCCCATACTTGGTGAGAAACAGACCTCATCCTTTATTTACCTGCATAGTAAAAATCCTTTTAGGGGTATCTACTCCTGTCCAGCAGACCATTATTTACCACACTTAGATAGATAACAGTTTATGGTTCACCACACTTTGGTTTAACACACTTTGGTAACTAACTATAAATTCTATTTACATTTCCCTCCTGTTTATCAAAGTTAACACATCACAAGTTCATCATCACAATATCATTTCAAACAGATTTTCAACATTGGAATCTTACATGAGTGTCAACAATCTTCACGTCATCATAAGGACCATTGTGGTCTGGGTCTTAGCCTGTTAGTCTTTGATAGTCAGTTTCAAACAAGTATGCTCCAACTGCTTTCTCAAGGACTCGATCAATCAAATCAAATTTTATTTATATAGCCCACATTTACAAAATACAGTTTGTCACATGGGGCTTCACAGGGTTGGTAACATCCTCTGTCCTTAGACCGTCAGCCAGGGTAAGGAAAAACTACCGAAAGAGAAACCCTTTCAACAGGGAGAAAAGAGAAAGGTAGAAACCTTAGGGAGAACCACAGGTGACGGATCCACTCCCTGGACGGACAGACGTGCAATAGATGTTATCAGAACATACATTGTACAAATACATAAAAACCAATGAAGAAAAAAAAGTCGTGGTAGTGGCAGTAGTCCTGTGCTCCTCCTGTTCACCGGTGGCAGCAGAACTGTAAAAGAGTGGGACCAGTTTCCTAAGTGTATACATGGTGGTCGGTATGAATATAGGACAGGACAGAAGAATAAAGTAAGACCGTAGAGTCTGTGTCCTCATTATAAGTGCAAGATGAAGTGAAATGAAATGAAATGCAATGCCCCCCAGCAGTCTAGGCCTATAGCAGCATCTTTTTAGACTGTTCTAGTCGGGGCATGTTTAATCTAATTTAGGCTATAGGCTATACTATACAAATGGGTTTTGAGTCTCACTTTAAAGGACGAGACAGAATCTGACTCTCTTACTGAGAGTGGGAGCTGGTTCCACAGGAGAGGAGCCTGGTAACTAAAAGTTCTACCACCCGTTCTATTTTTATTTATTTTAGGGATGACCAATAGATTCGAATTTTGGGAGCGCAGTGATCTATTTGGTTTGTATGGGGTAATTAAATCACAAATGTATAATGGGGCTTGATTATTTAGGGCCTTGTATGTGATTAAAAGTATTTTAAAGTCTATTCTACTTTTTACTGGGAGCCAGTGTATTGAAGCCAAGACGGGGGTTATATGTTCTCGTCTTCTAGTTCCGGTCAGTATGCGTGCTGCCGCATTCTGGACCAGTTGAAGGCTTCTTAAGGACTTATTGGGACATCCTGATAGTAGCGAATTGCAATAATCCAGCCTGGAGGTTATAAAGGCATGGATTAGTTTTTCAGAATCTGGTCGTGATAACATTTTTCTAATGGATTTAATGTTACGTAGGTGGTAGAAGGCTGTTCTACAGGTTTGGTTAATATGTTTTTGTAGTGATAAATCCTGATCAAACAGGACACCCAGGTTCCTTGCTTTACCACAGGGGACTGGGGTAGAACTACCTATGGTTATAGTTAGATTTGACAATGGTGCTCTTATATGTTTAGGCCCTAAAACTATGACCTCAGTTTTTTCTGTGTTAAGCATTAGAAAATTCTGGGTCATCCATGTCAGAATGTCTCTAAGACAATCTTGGATTTTAATTAAGGGGTTTGGGTCATCTGGCCGTACCGATACATACAATTGGGTGTCATCTGCATAGCAATGAAAGTTTATGTTGTGCTTCCTGATGATGTTGCCTAGTGGCAGCATGTACAAAGTGAAAAGAATTGGGCCAAGCACGGAACCCTGAGGAACTCCATAGTTCACTTTAGTGAGTATGGAGGATTCCTCATTTACGTTAACAAATTGAAACCTGTTCGACAAATAGGATTTGAACCAGGCAAGTGCTGATCCTTTAATCCCGACATCTTTTTCCAGCCTATGTAACAGGATCTCACGGTCAATTGTGTCGAACGCTGCGCTGAGATCCAGAAGGACCAGGATAGACGCCAGTCCCTTATCAGAGGCCACGAGAACATCATTTTGTACTCTCAATAGTGCAGTCTCTGTGCTATGATGGGTTCTAAACCCAGATTGAAATTTTTCAAATAGATTATTGTCATGCAGATGATCACACAATTGGGAAGCGACAGCTTTTTCTAAGATTTTAGAAATAAAAGGTAAATTTGAAATGGGCCTATAATTAGCTAGAGTGCCAGCGTCCAGAGAAGGCTTTTTAAGTAATGGTTTAATTACTGCTATTTTGAATGCCTCTGGGACACAGCCACTCAGTAGGGACATATTTATTTGTTGTAATATTATGTGACCTATTTGGGGAAGGGACTCTTTAACTAGTCTAGCTGGTATAGGATCCAGCTGACAGGTGGTTGATTTAGCAGCGGAGACCAGAGACCTTAGCTCGGGGAGATTTAAAGGGTTAAATTCATTTAATTGTAAGATTGGAGTCACCATTGTGTCTAGGTTATTCATGCTAAACTGCATTTTGGTCATGTGTGGAGGAAGGAGGTGATTAATTTTATCTCTGATTTTATCTATTTTGTCATTAAAAAATGTTAAAAAGTCGTTACTACGCAGAGATAGAGGTATTTTTGGGTTGATTACATTTTGGCTCTCTGTCAGCCTGGCTACAGTGCTGAAAAGGAACCTGGGATTGCTCTTATTTTTGTCTATTAACTCTGAGTAATAAGTTGTTTTTGCATGTTTCAGAGCTCTTTTGTAATTATCAAAGCTGTTCCTCCACAGGACATAGTGACTGTCGTTATGTGTGGAACGCCATGCTCTTTCTAATCTCCTTGTTTCTAATTTTAAGGCGCGAGTTTGGGTATTAAACCATGGGGCATTTTGAGACATAATTCTCTTTTTTAGGGGGGCTACATTGTCTATGACAGTTTTTAAAGTTAAGTTTGTTTTATTTACTATATCATTAAATTTTGTGGGGGATATTGTGGGACACTGTGGTGAGAACTCGGCGGGGACTCGGTCAGAATGGACACAGGAGCGGTAACAGTTGTGGATCAGTAAACAGCTAAAAAACCCAAACTAAAAACTTAAAGGGAAGCTAAAAGTTACGGGCGAACCGC